AAATTAACACAAATTCGTCTTCTATTTTCTTGGTAAAAAGTGTAAATTTACCTTATATTAAATGCTTTATATAATAATGCTTGTACAAAAATCCTCTTAAATCATTAATTAAAATCAATTTACAATATAGTTGTGCAATTTTTCACTGATCATATTATGTATTTATCATATACGTAATCAACAATAAAAAAAACAAATTGAATAATTCAAATTTATGGGAAAACTGTGTTCCACAGTTTCTACCTAAGAAACACATTTTTCCTATAATTTCGAATTATTCAATTTGTTTTTTATTGTAGATATTTACTTATACTATAATAAATGCATAATATGATCAGCAATAAATACGATCATATTTACACTAACACATTGTTCTATTACAAATTATAGAAAGCAATTTTAATTTTTTAATTACAAAAATAATAGTAATTCAGATTTAAGTTTTATTATCTATTGTCTACTATTCGTCTATAGGTAGGTACTAGGTAGATTATATTAAACTATAATAAGTGGTTATAAATTCAGCAGTTTAAAAACTAATGTGAATAACTTCAAATTGTTATTTTTAATTAAAACAAAATTACATTTTTTTATTTATTTAACTGATTTGTGGAATATTGAGTAAATGTCTTGGTTTTAAAAAAAAATTAAAAATAAGTATAATTGTATGTGTTATATTGTACTTTTTATAGTTCTAATTGAAATATAAATACCTAACTGATAAAACACTGTATTAGTAAATAATCGTATACACTGTTCATCGTAAAGAGGCAATTACTTTTAAAGTTCAATTTATCGAGTATCATTTTTTACACTTGTTGAACGCAAATTACGATTGTATAACATTGCATGGGTTTATTTAATCGTTAGAAATAAAATTTCAGTAGCCGAGAATTTTAAATCAGCATTTTATTTGTAGGGTATTAAGTAAATTGTCGATATTATATTAAACACTAATTTACAGTTAAAGTAAATCAGCTATACATTATTAAATTATTTTATACATATTCTATTAAAATTTAACTATATTTCATAATAGTTATGCACTAATTTTTTTTCAAAGTCCTGAAGATACTTTTTGAAGTTGTTCAATAACAACCCAACCATTCCAAAAGTTTAAAAGAAAATAATTTCTAATCAGTAACTTTGTGAATAATGAATCATGATTTGATTGTGTCACTACATAAGTCCTTGCCGTGTTAATTTGTTATACTGTTATAGTATTATGTGCTGGCAAAAGCCGGTTGATCGTGTATTATTATAATGACTATCGATAATTTCGGGAAAAACCTAACATTTTTAGAAATTATGAATTTAATAAAATTAATATAAAATAAATATATTATTAATTAAAAACCGTTATAATAATAGATTTTGACATTCTATCGTTTTCTTGTGGACACTAATTATTGTACAAGTCTTACACCCGTTTTCAATCTTTGGAAATAATAAACAATTATTTTTAAAATAAAATATTTTACTGAAACAGCTGCATGCATGATAATATGCACATATTTTTTCGTTGGCACGTTTATTTTACGAACAATAAGCTCGAGTGTAAAACATTCAAGAGATACGAAAATTGTTTTTTGTTTATATATACTATTTACAAATAAATAATTATTATTTTATTTTAAAAATAATAACCTATTTTCTTCAGAAAAAAAAACAATGATTAAATAATAATTTTAAAGTATTAATTTCTAACACCCACTGGCCACTAACGACATTGAGACAAACTGCATAGTATGTAAAATAGCTTTTATTTGGTCCTTACTATTCACCACTAGTATATTAAAATATGATGTTTGCTATTCGATTATGAAGAATATTACAAAACTAGAGAATACGTGGGAATTTTGGAATTTGTCCTCGTCGGCAGTTCTTACAATAGCAGATCAAGTGATTTTTTTTATATTTTAAACATTCTATTGTAGCTGAGTACACAAAAAATATATAAATGTGCACTAAAATGTTAAATATCATATATAATTTACTAATGTACAGTTTGTTGTGAAAAATGGACAGAAACAACTAATGTCCGTTTTACGTAAATAAGTAATATCCTTTTTGTTTTATCAATAACTCATATCTTACAAAAACATAATAAATACTGAGTAAAACAAAATAAAAAAATGTACCATTAGTTTAATTTAAAACATCTACGCTATTACGTTATATGATACCGAGTGTACTTCATGGTGACTTTAATAGCGGTATGCATATGCCACGCGGCACGCCGTATCATATCATGGATTATGGATAGGTTTTGATTATTTAAGATATATTATACGATCGTCGCTCGAAGCATGATAAATCAAACGCGATTCATTTTTTTTTCTGAAAATTTAGTTTGATCGTTCCAAGATACAATTTATTAAAGGATTTAACAGTTCACTTCTTCGTAAAAAATGCGAATGATCGATAACGAGATTGAAATTTTATGGGTATTAAGTTATAATTTTCATCAACTTGAATTTTTATGATATAAGTTTTTTTACATTAAGCCCAACATTATTCTAGAATTTTAATTATAATTTGTGTAATTTAACTTGATTTAATGACGAATAAAATTAATTTATGAATAATAGATCACTCGTAGAAGTATTTGATACAACTTAGTGAAAAAAATTGGAAAATGTTAAAATAGTGTCGTCAAAACGGAAACATAAAAAAGGGCTGTTCTTTTATATACATATATATAAGGATAATAATTTATAAATGATTATAATAATTAATAATCTAATATTTGTTTTGTTGTTGAACGTGCCATAGCCGTGGTTGCGGTTTGATCAAAATACCACTAATTCTATTTTTAGTACTCGGGCGATGAAAATTGAGCCTCCCGTTGATAATTAATTACGCATGCCTAATTCTACTTTTATTTAACTGTCGCAAATACATACGTATGTGTGTAATTTATGACTTATGTACACAAGTACTAACTGAAAAGCGATGTTAAACGGTTTACGGTACCTCTTTGACGTTATCAGAACACACATTGCCGCTGACTGAAATACTAGCGTTTATTTACGTAATAATTACTTGGAGCATTTCTAATTGGTTTAATGCTATTTTCAATAATAAACTAAATAAACACGTAATGATAATATCATGTTATATAATTCAAAATCTATACAATTAAATTTCGTATAGTAGAATTTTTTCTCTAACAAAATAATCATAAATACGTTAAAAATTATTTGTGAAATATGTGCAATTGGTGAGCCAAGAAGTATTTTTTGAGTAGATACCTATTATTTACTATAAAATTTTAGATGAACCGTCGTTATACTTGCTTAACCCTAAAAATTCCCATAATATGTAATAAATAATAGCCCAATTATTACGTATAGAGAATGGTCATCCCTAATACACAGTATGATTTATGTTAACATATTAACTTAATGCGGTCACGCATTTGGAAGCCATGTATTCATAATAACCATGCTGAGAGAATGGGCGACTGTAAAAGGTATGACATCATAGAACAAATCATATTAATCATGGTCCTTTGAAACGCAGTTCTTTGCCTAAGTCTAACTTTTATTCTTTTTAATTATTACAAAGTGGCATCGAACAGAAATTCAGTTTATTTATTTAAATAGAATTTTAAAATGTTAGATAAACAGTAGAAAAAAATAATTTACCTACCTGCTGTCTATTTAATAATATAAATTACAAAAAGTATATCATGTTATATTTCTTTAAAAACTAAATTGCATTAAAAATATTAATAGCAAATATTATGTTTGATATTCGATTAGTACAAACGTATTTTATCATTTAATATTTATATTTACATAGTAATACAACTAATATTACTACTATACATACATAACATTTATACTTATACGGCTAATTACGTTACAATATACATACGCACTTACATGAATATAATATAATATGTTGGTAATTATTAATATAATATACAAATACACAACATATTATATTATAAATAATTATGAAGATAAAATAAATAATAGACGTTATACATTATTTTTTTTTTAAGTCCTGCAATACATTTTTAATTTTTTAGTAGAATATTTTTTAATACTGAACCTCCATATATCCTAGTTCACTATTATTCAAGAATACCTATTCATTTTACACTTGATGGTAGGTGGAAACTTAACATTCTAAAGTTCTTTAAAAAAAAAAAAATAAATAAAAATAAAAATTGTAATTTTTTTAGAATTTTCCTTTATAAACATTATAAAAAAATATTAGGTGTATAGAATATTTTCTTAGTGACTAGTGAGTAGTAGATATTTTAATGAAAAAATTCTTATTAGTTTCCACGAACTGCTTACTTGATTATGCGAACGTCAACTGAATGTTGTCTGTCAATAATTTAAAAATAAATTGTGCACATATTTTATCAAAAAACTATCTGCCTCGTATCAGTGTTTCAGAATGTATTATAAGACAGTTATTGTAAATTGTAATATTACACCATCGATGAGGATGCTCTAGATATATTCAAAATAAAAATGTTTGAACAGACTTTTATCCTTCGGTTACAGAGAAAAGAAGCTTTACCCAATTACTCGTAGTATTATGCACTCACCTTAGTGCAGTTGCACTGTTAACTTCATTACATAATAACACACTAATATGACACTATGACGTTCACTGCTCAACATCGCGTTTGGCGTGTTCAAACTTTTAAAATCGTTCCTTCAACGTTCGGACTATTCAGTACCTAATACAGTAATACCTATCTAATCTTGTCGACGCCGCCCGTCATTCACCCACCAATACCACCACCAGTCACCACCACAACCACCCGATGATCGATTTCCATCACTCGACAGTTGTCGTTTCGCATAGAAAAATACGATCGGTGACAGAGCCCGTGTCGAAAACTTTTGACGGTTTTTTTTCCATGATCCGGCTGGATACCGGCGGCGACCAAGCGCGCCCCGTGTCTGCACGTCGCATCGACATACCGCTGTTCCCGCCCGCCTACCGAGACTTTAGATTCAACAACGCCAGCGCTCTTTTTTTCCGTTCGTCTGTTATTTCGTTTCGGCTCTTCCTTGGGCACGCAAGCTTTTCTTTACGGTACTCGTTCCATACGGCACACGCTACACCACGTTGTTCCTGCGTTGTGAACACGAACAGTTGATTTTATTTTTGCCTTTGTGTTCATCTTGAAACGTAAGTATCGTGGATTATTTGATTATCGTTATACTCGGTTGAATTAATTTATTACTCCGGGTGGCGTCGTGATATGATCATTTCTAAGCCCGCCAAACCACGCTTTTGGAAACCACGCTTTTTGTTCTTAAAGACAATATGCTATACTTAATAGTCACGTGGCTAGAATAAAGTTTTACTGTTTTGTGTTCTAAGATTACTTGAATCATTAAGTTTTCCATTCTTGTTGCATATTTTACCATGTATTGTACTGTACTATTATTAGCGTTTATACTATTCTCGTAATGCAATTATTCCCGATTGGTTTTATTTTACGCAACAGCATTCCTAGAATTTTTTTTCACATTTAAAGTAGGCTGTTTGATTGTAATTTAATATTCCAACTTTTTTTTTTTTTATTATTAATAATAAGCATCCGCGGCTGCTATGGCCATTGGATGTAATGGATTATACATAGTTTAGTATGACATAGAGACTATGAGATATTTTTTCGATAGAAATTGGTTGAGCTTAATGATATTAATTAGATCTGTACTTTAAATTTCCGCCAGGTGGTTGGGGATTTGTAACTTTCTATTTTCCGTGCTATAGGCTTAACTTCGGTTAGAACGTGTATGTTCGTGAGGGGTATTCTACAGCGTGGGTAGGCCGAGGGGGTCATCTTTTTTCAATTAAAACAGGTGCATGAGACCTGTTCAATTCTAAGACAGTTAATGGCGGACTCGTATTATCTTGGGTTGTTGGAGGGCCAATTTTTTTTTATTAATTCACCATAATGAATCATAAATAAACTTGGCCAGTGTTATTGATTAGTTCCTTATAATAATATATTAGTTTTTAGGTGTTTATAGTTGGGTTTCTTTAAACTTAAACAATGGAGCCAAGAGTGTGCACATTCTTTTGCTTCTTCGTTTATTATTACTTCCTTTATATTATTACAATTTTAATTAAAATCATTGATACAGATTTCTTAATATAGATTATTTTTACCTTCTTTGGAACACCGGTATCTACGTGTATTATTTTTACTTCTAATGATAATGTTCTTTTTGCCCTTGATGTACTAAAGTTTATTGATATACTTTCTTACCCGAAAGGTATTGATGACCGGAGGACAATAGGAATAAGATGTGAATTTAATAATATATATTTAATTATAAAAATAATTTAAATATGATTTGACGTCAATTTAAAACTTTGCAACTAGTAAAAGATCAATTGAAATGCTAAGTTAATATTCTCTTGCTTTTGAGAGTGAGACAGTGAACTTCTGTGAAGATAGGTCGATGGCTGAATGTAGACTTTTTGGTAGAGACAGACTTCTTGATAGAGACCTGATCAATGTTAGAATGGGGCTTTTAATTATAGATTTGATATTTTAATTGTTCCATTTTGATTTGTTATTGTTTATTTTGTATAAGTACACTTGTATTATAAAAACATTTTTATGGTATCAAGTACTTAATAGATAAATATTTTATTATTATTAATTGTTTTTTAATTATTTTAGTATATTATTAAAGTTCGTAAGTACTCATGTTTATTGAGTATCATTAATAATATGTTAGATATTGTAATAATATAGTATAATTATAAATATTAATGATATAATTTTAATTATTATAATATTGTTTATGGATATGGTTATTTACTAAGCATTAAGATGAATTAATGAGTAATATCATTACATTACTTATAAATTATAATAATATTATTAACTTAATTAATTTTATTAATTTTTTTAATTTATTTGTTTTATGTATTTTTGTGGTATTTTGGCATTAGAATTTAATACCTGGCTTCAGTGAAACGAGCCTAAGAATTTCAAAATTAAAAGGCCCGTTTAAAAAAAAGTGTTGACCACTCTATGTTAAATAACACTCATTTCAAGCATACACAGTACACCTTAGATATTATAGAATATTAAAAAGAATATATATATTTATAATACATTTTTTCGTATTAAATTGTTTATTAAATAAAAATTAGAGATTGATCATATTGAATAAAAATAAAATTAATTGTTAGATTAAACTATGTTAATTATACTGACTTGAGTTTTTATTAAAAATAATTGTAAAATAATTTGATTGAATTGTGAAGCATAATACAATATCATAAGTCCTATATCCTACTAAACTTTTTATAATTTTTTATTTTTTCAAGCAGTAAACAATCTACCAATAAATACAATATGCAATAAAGTTTACAATTATTTAGAATTGATGATTTTGATGAAAGGAACCAGTCATTGATAATAATTTCTGTTAATAATTTAATGTTTAGTAAATCTCGACAACTTATTCTTGAGACATCTTGAAGGATTTCCAGGTACTGTGGGAGTGACCAAATTTTTAATTAGCTAATTAGATAGTTGTTTAAACAATTGTAAAATCTTTTGTATACATTTTTTGTCGCATAATTTATTGGTTTAAGTTTGAAGTCTCTTTATAGTATGATTTTACTGGTAGAGTGAGCATTTCTTAGTTTTCCAAAAATAAATCTTTAAAAAGTTTGGATGTTTTTAATATTTGTTTTTTTTTCTGTGTTATCTCAAAGCTGTAGTTTGTAAGTCGTAAGTTGGTTTTATTAGTGTCTTGTACATTAGCAGTTTAATGCCCATAGAGGTATATTTTTCATAGAATGATAGGGATTTGAGTAGGCAAAGACAAAAATTTCATGTTTATCTTTTAGTACTGATTTAGTGAGCCCATATTAGTTTTTGATCCAAATTAAGAGGATGCCATATCCACATGTAGAGGAGAATCCATTTCATGTTGTTGGTCAATATTAGAGTAAATTTACCTATTATCTAACTTAAAAAAATTTTATATCTAAGCCATGAGTTATGAGCATTTTAAAGTTTTAATATTTTATATAGCTATAACTAGCGACCGGAATTTTATGTTTTGCATGATTATACTGAGTGTATGCCTTATAAAGGTTTGAAATGTAGGCGATTCAGACCCAAATGATTTAATAGCCCAAATTTAATTTTGCATGTAATGGTATACTTGGAGGGTTGGAGTATATTTTTTCATAATTGAATATAATGTGCATATTTTTTACAAGATTAATAAATAATTAAATTATTTTATGTTTTTATTTAGAAATTGTAATTTTTAAATACTGCCATACTGGTGAGAAAAAAATTACCGTCAATACAGTATAAAATTTTATTTTCTCTAGTTCAATACACCGTATTGATAAACTATTATCTGAAAAATTAAATTGCTTTTAAAGTTACTTCTTAAAGTTATATAAAAATTTAGTTTTAATTTATTAGCAATTCTGCAAATTTTGTTATATTTTATTTATTTAAATTGTTTTAAAAACTTATAATGAATGTTTTTTTTATATTTAAATATTTGTTGATATACTTAGATTTTGAAAGGTCCAACACTTGTAATTTTGTTATATTTATTTATTTTATTAATTGTAATATTTTTAGTTGTTGTTTTAAATAATATGAAATTATAATGCATATTTGAACACATTTTTCAATTATTTGTGCATATTAATGCATATTTTGACCTTTTTGCTTTACATATTTGCATCACAATTGCCATATTATTAGTGCATATAATTCCGGTTTCTACTTATAACCCAGTTTAAAATTAAAATATAATAAAAGCTTACTTGATAGCCTAAATAAAATTCTTACCTTAAAGTTGGTACTAGGTAAATTTACTTTAATAGTAAAGGTAAGAACATTGTGCAGAATGAAAATTTGCTATGTTTTATAAATGTATAAGACTGAGAAAACGTATGTGGGTATGGCGTTCTCTTAAGGTAGAGATGTTTAATTTTTGAAAAATTATGAATAGAAATACCGTGTAGAGAGAGAAACATAAGGACAATGCATTAGTGTAAATGTAACAGTGGTGATTTTTCCAGGCATACTTAGGAATAAAATTATTAAAATTATTTTGTCATCAATAATCTATGACCTATTTAAAAAAAAAAAAAAAAAAAAAAAAAAACATGATAAAAATATCATCTATTTCTGTTATATTTATCTGTTTTTATCTTTATCGTAATATTTAATGATAGAGCATGTGATAGATGTGTACCCCAAATTATACAACGCTTGTTATTGCTGTGAAATAATAAGACCTGCTGTACTAGCAACCGTGGTGCTAACTACCTAGGACATGCTGATTGTGCTACACTTTGTCAATGTCGTCATTTATATAATTTATGTTTAGTTTCATTATGCTATTTATTATTGTTTAGTGTAATAGCGTTTGGTACTTAAGTACTATAATAAGTATATAGTTTTAAACAATATTATTGCTATTGTAGAAACTGAATGTGTTGTATGTGACTTAATTTCTAAACCTTTTTCAAGAAGATCATTTTTTTTAAAAAAAAAGTGAAATTTTTTTAGTTGGTCCCTGGTTTAGTAATCCCTAATTTTACAAGTATTCATAAAGATGAAAAAAAGAATACATTTGATATTTTAAGTGTTAGAAGGTTAAATATGAGCCTTGAAAATTTTATAATTAATAGAAAAAATTGTTAAAAAAGGAAGAATGACTTTATTTGTTAATAAAAAAAAAAAAGTGAAGGTTTTGTTTTAGTAAAAAGAGTATTATTTAAGTAAGTCCTATTGCATAAAGTTATAAATTAAAGCTTTATTTTTAAATTAATTATAAATTAAATAGAACTATTATACATTATGATAAATGAGCATGCCCATACATTGGAGTCAGTATTCGCCACTGAAAGTGTTGTTAATGGATTTATTCTCTTTAACTTTAAACCGTTATTTGTAAACAAATTTTTCATTGTATTCATATGAGATTGCAAATTTGTTGATGCAATTAATAAATCATTGTCAATTAATATTATCGCTTTATCATTAACATAGTTAGCTACTGAAGTGTTAGGTATAGTAGGTTGGTCAAGAGCAAAGATGTTATACAGAATATCAGATAAAATACTTCCTTGAGGAATACCAGCATTTTAGTTTTTATAATATATCAAATAGAGCAGATCTGAAGAGAATTTGTAAGTGGGGATCTTTTGGTAAAATCTGATTAGTAAGAGTAAAGAATTTTTTTATTAAAACAAAAGCTTAAGAAATGTCTAAGAATGCACAAGTGCAGTATAGTTTTTTTCCAAGGAAAAGAAAATAGCATTTACGATTTTGTGGGCTTGATATTGGGTTAAGTGAGACATGAAAACCGAAATGGGTGTCTGGAAGTATATTATTTTCTATAATGATAGGTAGGATACGTTTAAGAATTCCCTGTCAAGTATTTTGGTGAAAAACTGCAGAATGCTAATTGATTGGTGAGTTGATGAAATATCAGGAGGTTTAATTGGTTTAGGAGAAAAGATTATACCTAGTTGAGAATTTTTAAAGAGGAAAATAAGGAATTATGAATGTTATATCAAATATGTGAGTGATTTGTACAATAGTGTTCTTATTGAAAGGCATCTGGCTACTTCCACAGTAGTGCAATCGTAGCCTGATGATGTATTTAATGCGTATTTTTGTTTTGTTTATTTTATATCATTTGTTGTAAATGAACTGACTGGAAGATAAAGAGAAAAGAGAGAAATTTAAGTCAAGTATACTTTTAGTGGAATAAATTAAGTTATTTGGTATTTTAGCAACAAAGATATATAATTTTATTATGGGAAGAGATGTGGTCATATGTTGGTTAGGCGGAGCTAGAACATATAATCTTGTTTTAAATCTATGAACTTTATAGTTCCTTAAAACATTATTATTTTTTTAATGTTATTATTTTTATGAGTTATGTACAATATTCTAAAAATCTTTTTTATGTTTCTACATTGTATTTTGGCAAAATTGCTGTATGCACATTTCAGACAAATTATACACAATACACACTATTTATTGTCTTGTTCTTAACAATAATCAGTAATTAATTATTTTATTACTTATTCAAGTATATAATTTTTATTTTTATTATGTTAATGCCTAAATGGCACATAGTATTAATAATTAAAAAGTATAGATACAATATTCACTTTTATGGTTTTAGATCTTGTGGATTGATCTTTATTTTATTGTCTTATTTTTGAATCTTGAGTTATTTACACAAAAATTTTATATTATATAGTTGAGTTTCATATCTGTTTTGATAATCATAAAAAAATATATTGTACTTTTCAACTCATTATGTCCTTATTAATCTAAAAAATGAAAAAAATGTAATTGTCTAGATAAATACCAAATCAGCTTGACTATGCTTAAAAATATGAAATATGCTGAATACCTCAAAATATAAAAAATTTAATTTTATATACTGAACCTTGTCGATTTCCATATTATCCAAGAATTCTAAAATATAAGACAATTTGAAGATACATGCACTTTTAAGCTCTGATGATAATAATTGTAAGTTAAATATGTTGACAGCCAGTCCTTGTACTCTTCATGTCTGTTTTTTTTTTTTTAAATGTCATGTTTAATGATAATAAGTGACTTGAAAAAATTAAAAAATTATCCAATTTATTGCAATTGCACTTTTTTTGATGTTAGACATTTGATATAGTATTGGTATGAAAGATTACTTTTCAAATTAAAAAAAAAAATTCCTCTCCATTTTTATTTTTATTATTTAAATCTTTTTAAAGGATCTTCATTTTTAAAAATCAGCTAATTTTTGTTGGTGTTTCCATAGGATGGAAATGTCCAACCTTTTTTTTTTTAATATCTACATCAGATAGGTCTCATTAATAATTGTCTTTAAAATATTATACTATACTATTGTAACTGATCACACAGATAACCACAATGCCATCATTTCTATTGTTAAAAACTCTTATTGTTTCTTCGACTCATCTTAATTTGTTGTTAGAATCGTATACATATTGTCACATTAAACATAATCAAAATAAGTCTGTACATACAACATTACTCCTTTTGCCCAATGGTCTATTTATATAATGTATCTATTCTAAAATCTACACAGCTGATACTTAGGACTTCGTTTAAACTTGTCTTAAACATCTGTATTTCCTGAAATTTATTCAAAACCTTCCCACCTAAATCAACCTTACATTGCAATTCAGACATTGTCTAAAAAGGAACTGGCACTGTGACTTTTTATGTTAAAAAAAGATAACAAAACAACTTAATTAAGTGTTGTTAATGGGTGATGTTGCCGTCGTACCATAATATAATATATAGTATAATATAATAATATAAAATACTATAGATTACGTTCAGCCGATTGACACACACACAAACACTCGTGCGCACCAGGCGTTATTTTTATATTTATTTTTTGTTTCAATTTTGTGTTTTGTGAATTATTTAATGTGAAAATCAGGTATCAGCGCGTTATCTGCTGCCGCCGGCTCGCCGGTGCGCGTAGCTATTACGTCGCCGCCGCAATTTTTGTCTTTTTCCGCCCGTTGTCGCAGTAAGTCCGCCGTGAATAATATTGTATAATATCACCTATACTGATACATTTTTGTTTTATATTAATATTATTTTTATTATACTTACACAGTTCCGCTATTTTATATTATTATTGCAATTCGTTCCGGTGCTAATTGTCAATTTTATACATATTTTTATATACTACATATTATACTCGATATACATATTATTGTATCACATTGCGTGGGCTCTAATCGCTACATTATTATTCAATTATTATTATATTTTATTCGGTGTTACAATTTGTCGCCGTCTTACTATTGATTTATTGTATTTATTAAAAAAATGCTGCATATTGTATTATATTTCTTTGGTTTACAAATGGATTATAGGCATATAGATTATAGGTAGCAGTTGGCCAGTACTGCACCGACAAGCCGTGAGTTATTTTTTATTGTTATTTATTTATTATTATTATATTATTCGGTATTGTTAATATTTATTTTGTTGAACTAAAATGGCTATATCTTATTTTCTATATTATTATATCATATTTTATACCATATTTACATTTGAGTTACCATTATTAATTATAGAGTTACCTATTCGTCCTAGATTTAAGTATACACATAAACAGATATACACACTTACACACCACTGCACTACATAGCTCACCTAGTATTTGCGGGGCGAACCCAACCAATTCTAGTTGAGCTACACACGATTTACACAAATTTACAAAGGTCGGTCAGTGTGTTAGTATAGTACGTAGTAAGCGTGAAGTATTTTGGTAACCGGACGCATGGCCTATTGTCCGTTCCCGAACCATACAGGTGACTTCTTAGTCAAAAAATTAATTTGTTATTTAATTTGTGATCTCATAGTTATTGTGCTAAAGTGTACAAAATAAAAATAAAAAATGTATATAATTTTAATTTTATAATAAATCTTAGTTAATTTGTTTTTCTTTAGGATTATAATGTCTGACGGTGATTGGGATGATGAGCAAAGTTCTTCGAACCAAAGAGGTCGTGGTCGTGGTGGCGGTCGAGGTAGAGGAAACTTCAACAGAAATAATGATTTTGATTCTAATTCACATAGCGATAGTTGGGGAAATGGAGCTGGTAATGAATGGTCTGGTGAAAACGATGGAGAACATAATGGTGGATCTCGTGGTGGTCGTGGTGGACGAGGTGGTAGAGGAGGAAGAGGAGGAAGCAGAAATTTTGATAGAAACAATGGCGATGAGGAATGTAAAGATTTTGGCGATGACCAGCAACCTCCAGTTTCTGATAAACCTAGACCAACATATATACCTCCGGAAATTGATGAAAATGATGATTATGGAATAGGGGTTGGAAGCAATTTTAATAAATATGAAAATATTCAAGTAAAAGTTATTGGTGATTCTGTTCCCAAACACATTGAATCCTTTAAGAGTTCAGGTTTGCGTGAAGTATTAATAGAAAAATTGGTTAAATGTAATTATACAACGCCTACTCCAGTTCAGAAATATGCTATTCCTATTATCATTGATGGACGAGATATGATGGCTACTGCCCAAACTGGTTCTGGTAAAACTGTAAGTATTGCTTATACATTTTGTTAAACGCTTAATATAAATTAATAAGCTGGTACTTTGTAGGCCGCATTTGTTTTACCAATTGTGCATGCTTTACTATCCAACCCACAAGATTTAGTTTTTGAACGAGATTACTGTGAACCTCAATGTGTTATTATGTCACCAACCAGAGAATTAGCTATACAAATTCGTGATGTTGTATTTAAATTGACACATGGAACTTGTATTAAACTATCAATTCTTTATGGCGGCACTGCAACAGGGCATCAAAGAAATACACTTGCTGTAAATTGTTATCAAAATTTATTTCAAATATGTTTAAGTTATATTTTATATTTAATTAAATTTATAGAATGGTATCCATATATTAGTAGCTACACCTGGACGTTTGAATGATTTTGTGGGTCGAGGATATGTATCATTTAAATCATTAAGATTCTTTGTGTTAGATGAAGCAGATAGAATGTTGGACTTGGGCTTTAAACCAGATATTGAAAAAATATTGAATCATGAAACAATGGTGGATATTGTAAGTATAAATTATCATTAGATTTTAAATATAAATGAATAATTTATTCATTATATATTATAAATATAATAATAATTAAATATATTATATATATTATAAATAATATATTTATTACATAAAATCAATGTAAATTTTAATTTATAGAATACCAGACAAACACTTTTATTTTCTGCTACGTTGGCAGATGATATTCAAATGTTATCAAAAGCCTATTTAAAGCCGAACTATGTCTTTGTCGCAGTAGGTGAAATTGGAGGTGCTTGTAAAGATGTTAAACAAGAAATCAGAGAAGTCACAAAGTTTGAAAAAAAGAAAGAACTAATTAAAGTTTTAGAATCCTTAGGTTGTTATTTATTTGTTTCTGAATTATTGTATGGTCTTTTTATAGTCCTTAATACTGTGCATTCTTATTTCTAGGAGATTGTCAAGGAACGATGGTTTTTGTGGAACAGAAAAGAAATGCTGACTTTATCGCTGCATTTTTAAGTGAAAAAGACTATCCTACTACTAGTATTCATGGCGACCGTGAACAACCAGAGAGAGAACAAGCATTAAGAGATTTTAAGAACAATAAAATGAAAATATTAGTTGCTACTGCAGTTGCTGCTAGAGGCCTAGGTTTGTAAATTTTTATTTTTTTTAAAATTTTTTAATTAATTATATTGTTAATTTTTTCCAGATATAAAAGGTGTTAATTGTGTTATAAATTTTGATATGCCTAGCTCTATTGATGAGTATGTGCATCGAATTGGCCGAACAGGAAGGTTGGGTAATTCTGGTAGAGCTGTTTCATTTTATGACAGAAGCTCTGACAGTAGCTTAGTAACAGAACTTGTTAGGATTCTAAAACAGGTTATTTCGACTTTAAAAAGTTATTTTACTTGTTTATTTAATTATAAATTGTTGGTTTTTAGGCTGAACAGGAAGTTCCATCATTTCTTGATGGTGAAAGTGGTGATTCCTATGGTGGAAATTCATATGGTGGAAGTAACAATGCTACTAGTAATGATAGAATGGCTACTACTACTAGAGTAAATATATTTTTACCTATACTTATTATAAAACTGTGTAATGCAATTATTTTTATTTTTAAATTTTGTTAACAGCAAGCTGCTGACGATGAATGGTAAATCAGATAAGTTGATTGGATAATTATTTATTTAAATTACTTAAAATATGGACTGATTGAATTATGTTAATTGACTTTTTTAAGGTCCATAATTATTTAAATTTTTATACAACTTAATTGGTTTTATAATTATTTACCTCCTGTTCTCATAATATTGTATATATAACGTCTTGTTGGTTATGTTAAAATTTTAAAATTAAATAACGACTAAGTTATTTTGAAATATAGAACAGTTTTAATAATATTAAATTACGATTTCATTCATTTTGATTTAATACCATATATCAGGGGCGTATTGGGTCACTGTGCATTTGTATGGTGGATTAGTGTCATATTATCCATCGGTCCGATACAAAATATCTCAATTTTGCTAATATTATATTAAAACGTTTTTATGGATAGATATTATTTGTAAATACTCTAATAAAGTAGGATAATATTTGATTCAATTTTATACAAGTTGATTATCTGCGTATTATGTAATGTCTAATGGCTAGTCCATATAATATATATTATATACATTATCGTCATCTCACCAGTGGTCGACTGCCACTGAAGAATACCGTGAAACATATTCCTAAAATAGTTGTTATATTGAACTATTAATAGAAATTGCTATGATACCTAGTATGAATGTACGATACGAATTGCTTTATTATTCCCGCGATTCTGATTTCTATTGTAGTATCGTTTACTCTTATCTAACCTCGTGAATGAAATAATTTGTTTATTCAGCGTAAAATTAAATACAGTTATAATTTAGTACTTTAATGATACCTAATACATATGGAAAAAACTAAAGAGCAAAGCTGAAAAGCTTTATATAATAAAACTGGTAAATTTGCAGGCTATTATCAATGCTCCAGTATATAAAAAAAAAAATATATGCGTTGGTGTCGCTACATGCACATCTAACAAAAATAACTGTAAGTATAAAGAATTTAGTAAACTACACTTTTTTCAATCTACTGATTCATTTATTATATATTCCTTCATCTATTATTTTAATATTAAATTGCAGATTAGATAAAAATCTAAAAAATCCAAATATTTAAATATATTTGTGTAATTGATAATTCGAAAACTAATAAAAATGAAAATTATATCAATAAAAGTTTACGAGATGCTCTAAATTATAATTTTGCCTTCAAGTTGGATAACAGGTAAGTTAATTGTAATATTACAGTTAATATCACAAAATACCATTCTATTGAAAGGAAATTTGCAGTGTACGTTTGGTAAGATGAGACAACAATTATGGATTGCGGGTGTAGCATCTTCTAAGTATTATTCTTTGTTACATTATATTTATATACATTATACATCTTAAATCTACATTTGTAAACGGCATTGTCCTGACAGACAGAATCAAAGTGAAGCTTAAACAGTTTTAGGTTGAGATTAAGAATTTTAACAATATTACCTTCGTTTTATAACCTAAATGCACACTAGGGACTCTCACAGTAATTTGTTGGCTCACGTAAAATGATTATTTTGTTTATTTAGGGTTATCATTGGTTACAGAAAATAAAATACTTACATTTTATTTTATTTTACCATTTATTTTTAGGCAGTTATTAATGTTGTATTTTTATAACCGACTCAACGTGGACACATGATGGTTACATGACGATTATCATTCTTAGTTATAAATATCAATGTATGTACCTACCAATAAAGGTAGTACCTATATAATAAATTAAACATTGGTACTTATAAATATAATATATAAACGAGATACAAATCGAATCTTTCGAGTTTCAATATTTAATGTCTAATAGTATAGGTAGTTATGTGCAATAATAATTTTCAAGTTTACCATGATAAATAACCATTTAATGAATTATGACGGTAAAAACCGTCGAGAGATAATAAATAATGCTCTTTGTCAATTTACTCTAAAATTTAAAATAACAACATTGGTTCTAATGAAGTAAATTTTACCATGTTATGCGTTTGTTAGACAGACAACATATGTGGGTGTAATATCTTCACAAAAGAATAACTGTATATATATATCTATAGATACTAAAATGTTCATTAAATAATTTAAAATAATATTTATATATATATTTAATACATTTCTATAAATGATCGAATTTAAAAAATATTTTTACCCTTTTTGGTTTAATTATAGCCTATAGGTATCTTTGAAATTTTATTTAGTTTTATAAAACATTTTTATAAATGTTGATAAAAATCTTTTAACTTTGTTAAAAATTTTCAGTAATTAGTACGAGATTCTTATAAATTATTTTTGTACATAATATGTTAATTTTGTAAAACACTAAAATTAATTTTTTTGGCATTTTAAGTTCAAATTTGCAAATTGTTTAGCAGTTAAAAATTTGTAAAATTTATAATTTTTATAGCTACTGCTTGAAAATTTAATACAAATTTCCTTAAGGTAGTCCATACTGATACCAAAATATTTTTTAAATATTTAAGCATAAGCATTGACTCACGTATTATTGATTATATCGATTTTATTATTACTATTAATTATTATATCGTATTTTTCCCTGTTATAGATTTATACCTCTAAATAGCTTTAGCATCTGTCAAACGTAAGTAGATACATATTATGATTGTCACTTGTCTGTAGGAGCATTTGAAAATAAATTGTTAAACATAGAAATTAATTAATTTTTAATATTAAAAGAAAACCTTATAATACAGTTCTCTATAAATATACATAAAAAATACATTTTTTTTTTTTTAAACTCACTTATTTTAACTTTTAATAGCGATATGCATAATGTATTCTATATTTATTATTATTATATTTTAACTTAAAATTCAAAAAACAATATTTGTAGCCAGTAAGGACATATTTCTGTTAGTGTTATATTATATATATATACTGTTTATTATACTTATAATATTTTATACACAATGATATTTTCAAGTACAATGTTTTTGGTAAAAATTAATTTAACCTATACTATTAATAGTATATTACTGATAGTAAAATAGGTAAATTACTTTACCTAAATATCAAAAAAAAAAAAACATGAAGTATAATTACTTAGGAGTTAGGTCCGGAACTTGATACATTTGCATCTTTTTTTCTAATGCGTTTTTACGAGACTGGTCTTAACAGAAATGTGGTTGATATTGTGTAAAATTCAATGGACTATTTTTATTTGAACTTTTTTGCATTTTTCGGTAATTTTTGATTAGGTATACGGTCATTTTTACTGATTTTGATGCATGATTTCTGTTATATTATTTTAACAACACTTGTTATTTGAAAAAACTAACGTATTGCGTAGGTACAAGCCAATTTTTGTAATTATTTTGTATTACAGACTATTTCTTATCTCTGTTTTAAATTTAATTTAGGCCTTGTGTCTGTAAAAAAAAAAAAAAATCATATTTAATGTATTAACATATTAGCATTGTTTAAATTTACGCGGCTTAAAAACAAATTAGACTACAAGTACATTTTTGACATTCCATTAGTATGTACCTTCATATGAATAGGATTTAAAAATCACAATGCATTTTACGGTTCATATAAAAAATATAGAACTCTGACAGTGCTTAACAAGATACTTTACTACTTTAGACACTAAGACCAATAGGTACTGTCACATTGTACATCCTTATCATAGGTAGGTACCTAGGTTGTACATATCATTTATACTTGTAGTTAATTTTTTTTTTTCAATATTTTTCAGCGAAAGTATATTTAAGCAACACGTAAATATAGTGTTTAAACTTAATAATATATTCACACGAATTAGTTGAACTTTTGATTTACAAAATAAAGTTACGAAATTCAAACTCAACGGTTTCGGAGTAACTATAGTGACTACGACTAGTTTTTTTGTATAATTATTCGTTTGCATTATGATAAAATACAAAAAACATTCGACTACGCAAATTATTCATAACACATATTTTGATAAACATATTCATTTTTAACGAAATACATAGTATATTACGTACACAAGTATTATCAAATGTCACAGGATGACGAGTCTAAGTGTAACACGGCCTATCAATATTTTAAATGCGCAAAGCCATTGGATTTTTCTTACAGGAATCTTGTTTCACTTGAAGGTATACATAGCCAAGAGCTACCCATACCTATTTGTATTGTTCGTTTTGATGGTAATTGTGTAGGCACTAGGTATGTACCTCCTTATGTATATTTTCCAATCGTAACAATAATTAACCATATTATAGATGGATACTCTTTATTCATTTAATTAAGTTAATTTTTTTTTTTTGATTAGTATTACATTATTACGTGAAAACATGTCAATATAGATTATAGATGTATTTATATCAATGGCATGATTATCTCATACCTAAAAAAATTTGTCCCATCCAGAAATAGTTACTTATATAAGTTATAACAATATAACATGTAATTTATCTACTATACAGACTTTTCTTTTCACTATTACATAAGTCAATTAGCATTTAAGTACAGCAAATTCATACAGTTTTTAGATTATTAACAATTCATACTAATAATCGTTTCAGGTTCAATAAAAAGAAAATTAATAATTTATGTAAAATATCTAAATTCTAAAATAATGGTCAAGAGGAAGCTGTACGCGCGTAATTCGAGTGTAAAAATCAATTGTGTGCAAACCGACATCAACTTAGTTCTTAGTACATATTGTTTATAAAATGACCAAGTTTTTTTCATGTGAATCAATTAGTACAGAACTGTTGCATCAGAAATATAGTGTTTTGATTTTTGTAATTTCATTAAATATTAAAATATACTTAATTATTAATCAACCAATGGTTTGTTTATTTTTATAAATTTTTTGAGTTATAAATAATAAGAAAAATCAAAACATTAAACGAAAGAAAAGTTTTTTCTAAATATAATAAAAGATAATCAGGTTATATTCTATTCTATTCTATTTTATTATACACAATTATTTTAAATGGCGTTAGTTTATAAAAAAACAGTTTTTTACCTATATTATTTTATAATTATATTAATACGCATGATTATATATCACAATTACTGTATTAATAGTAACAAAAAACACTTCTAAACATTCGTTAAATTATATTCGGTTTAAGAGTTGAACGGAAACGAAAAGCCATTGCCATTGAGAGTACGAGGAGCGCCAAAGAAAAGCCGAAAGAGCAAT